AATAACTCAAACAAAAGCTGATATGCTGGTTAATCAAGCCCTCTATATCAGTAACACAGTCAGTATTTCCACAAATGTCTGCAACAATTTCTCGCTATCTAAAATGCATAAATCAATTTAAATTCCTAGCAATTAAATTTATTAGCTCTACAACAATGAATGTGGTACTTTATAAAAGTGGTATCCGAAATTCATACTCAAGAATTTATTGATCAAAGGTAAAGCAGCAGACATTCCTACTAAACCAAGGCTCTGCGAACAGCTAGAAACTTCAAAACATAAAAGCCTGCAATTGTTTCAAATACACCTAATAATTCTGCTGATTTTGGACCATTAAAGCTGATTACTTAATTAGGCAGTCATTAAAGCATCCAAACGCAACTGACAGAAACAGGGGACTTAGCAGAGCCCCTCTTCACCTGAAAATCGTGAAAACCAGTGCAAACTTTCTGGATCTGCCTCTCTGTCTGCATCATCCAAGCAAGATAGTAAAATCTAAAACATGACAATCTGGAGCTCAGGGAACAAAAGAATTCATCAGTAATGAAAGGATGCATTTCTCTGTTCAGAAGGCTGATATTTAAAGCTATGTTAGAAACAGCAAGCAATAACCCAGGTTGTCTCTGTGGACTCTTGGAAAGGCTACTTCCATTCTCCACTCTGGTCACCATCCTCCAAAAATAATTAATGAAACGTCCGCTGTCTTGTATGCCTGTCAGAAGTACCTACCTACAAAATGGTTCTCAAAGTTCCTAACAAGTGAAAACAACAGTCAAAAAGATTTTTCTTCTAGAAACTCTGTTGCAGGAATCTTAAATACAAGTAAATCAAAGCAATCCTGATTGCATGCAGAAGAGATTGGACAGTCTTAAGAACTTCACAGATTGAGTAGTGAGGAGAAAAAAAAATGTTTATTTTTAAAAAATCTTTCTTGAAATAATTCCAAAAAGATCCCTATAAGCTATCTTTTTAGGAGAAAAGAAAAGCAAGTCTACTCACATGTGCAGTTTCCAAACAGAAGTCTTACCCTCTTCCAGGAAAACAACATGGAGATTTTATTGCCCTGCTATGATTCTTTCATTTCAGACATGATTAATTAGCAAGTATTACACTCCTCAAAACTCCCACCACACTCTTCCCTGCTTATTTAATAGAGTACACGAAATAACATGTAGCCACCAGCAGTGTTAGACAATTATCCAAAAACTCTATTTCAGGGAAGGAATACTTTTATGTCTTTGACTCCAAAAAATAAAGCAAAGTGCTTTCAGCTGGCTTTACAATTTTTTTTTTTTTTTTTTTTAAGAACGTCTGGTCATGGTTTTAAGAGTGTCCTCTAAACTTTGAATGCTGCAAGCACTATATTTACTATTCAGAAATATGTGGCACATTTAATCTGAAATTTCAACTGAAATTCCAAAGGACTCATGAATCTGTATAGTTTTTATTTATAACCAATCACATGCAAAATTAATAAACAATAGAAGTAGTATGTGTAAGCATGTTTGGGGGCAGAGTTTAGTAGCAACAATGGGCGCTTTGCCAAATGGAAGCTAATGTGTTACAAATACAATAAAGATAGAAAAGAAAGATTAAAAGAGAATCTGAACACATAAATGAATGAAAAGGCCGGACGCTCTTAATATTGCACCAAATACTTCTTCAAAATAGTTTTCCTATTAATCAATCTATTTTCAAAATGCCCGTATTAATCAAGAAGCCAACCATAACTGAAGGTAGTATTAATGTATGGTTTAACAGCCATCAATTTATAAAGCCTGGGCTTTCTCCTTCAACCTTTAGCTACTGTGATTGCTGGAAAACTTCACACATAGTACAGTACTAACAAATACATCTTGTTGGTTCCAGGAAGCATTTTTATTTTAATCTATACTGGTCAAAATATATTTGCTTTTTTCCCCCTGTTGTATTAAATTTAGGATCAAAAACATCAAAGTAGCTTCCACCTCAGACCTAACTTTTAGAGGATCAATGTGACAAGGCAGTCCCTGATAGATGTTTCTCTTGATAAACGACTTGTTCAAAAGAGACATTGTAGCTTTCATTTCCTGACCACAACACACTTTTAATTTGCAACAGCAGAGCTGCCAGAGTGTGAGCACTTGCCACTTTGTAGCCTTATAGGTTTGTAGTTCTGGTTCCTTTAGGCCACACATTTGAAATAAACAGAATCTAAAAAGAATTACATGGATAAAACTAGAAACCAGGAATCACTAATGCCCCTTTATGCACATATACAAGTGTCTACTTTCTATGCACATGATATACATACACATATATGTACATACACCACCAAGTTCTAGTATGTGATAGATAACAAGCCTCCTTATGAACATCATTTGCACATCAGTCATTTAAGCACACTGAGAAATAAATTATGTGACTATTACTTAATAGCAAGCAGAGACTTTGGAGGAACAATTTATACACTTAAATCTGCTGTTCCATGCCCAGAATGATACGCTTGCCTATGCAGCATGTTTTTACTTTTTATTGTGATGATTAGTATTACTACTATCCAGAAATCACGTTTAAGTATCAATACGGTGAACAGTCAAACCATCCAATTTCTCCTCAGCACATTGTCCGAGCTCCGATTTAAAATTTATAAATGTAATATCCTCCTCATCACAGGCAGCAGCCCAATCTGCTCTGAATATATATTACAGCTTTAACATCACAGAGGGAAATCGCCCATCTGGCAATCCCATTCGCTCCAACAGCTCCGGGGGAAAAAAGCTGTGCTCTCTCCTCCTTAAAACATTTCTCAGGGCAAATTATGTGCATCTAAAATAAACAGTCTTCTTATTGATCGCTTCAAAGTCAACAAGTTCCAAATGCAAAATTCAATCAAATCTTTCCTATGGTGCAAGTATGGTGTGTGTTCAGTTCTACAGAGAGTAAAGCCCAGGCAGAAGTGCCTGTCGCGCATCGGGCTTGAAGTCCTAGCTTCTCATTTGTGTGATGAGAAAGCAGTGGCCAGAGCCTCACTACAGACGCCTGGCAGCTTTGCCCCCTCTCGTTTCTTTCTTTCACAGTCTCTCTTTGCAGCTTTCACTCTTTTCAAGAGAAATTCATGGTATGAAGAAAATGTAACAACAAAAAATAGTTTAAAGTGCACATACCCTTTGCTTATGCAAAATACTTTCCCATCTTTTTGTTGTGTTTGTCCCCTGCCTAGTCTTAATTGAATATCACAAAGTGTACACACAGCACAGCCACAAGAGCTATTGAAAAGCCCCTCACTCCATTTAACTGACTTTTTTTTTTGTAAAGAAAGAGGAAAGAGTGATTTCAAATGAAGTCAATTTCAGTGCCTGATTATTTAATTCTGTCATAGGTTAAAAGTAAAAAGCGCTGACAGACAAGTGAATGGCAAAGGGGGAAAACTGCCACAGTTTCTTACAGGACATTAAGGACTTTGAACAATCAAACATATAGAAATACATGTATCTTATATTCATGTAAAATATACACCTTCACTCACTCACCCAAAAAAATCCACCCAGAAGAGCTGACTACTCCACAAAGTGCAATCAGCAAGAAAGCAGTCAAATTCCATTAACAGGTTGAGAAAAAAAAGAAATTTTCATCCAGTCCTGTGTGTGTGTGTGTGTGTGTGTGTGTGTGTACATACATATACTTCCATTAGTTAGCAATCTTTTCCCTACTCCCACCCTCTCCACCCAGAGCCCCCTAAAAAAAAAAAATCCACACCGAGTTTAACTAATTTACATACCATTTGACTTCAGCCTTATATAGTGCATTACTAGTAACATGCAACTTTAGGAGTAGCGCTAGAACCAATAAAAAGTGTTCACAAGTAATATATTAAGCAAAACTGAAATATATAAACAAATGATAGGAAATGCAAGAAAGCAGAGTGACAGATTAAAATCAACATTTATACATCTTTTAAAAAAGAATCGTACATCATGAGCAGCTGATTCCCAAGCAGTCTTCAATGGTTTTATCATGCTATTTAATTTGTCTTTCCTATTTAGATGCAAAGGAAGTAAATTCCAAAACTGACATACCATAAACACTGGTGCTACTGATCATTTCTTGCTGGCAGCACAAAAAGCTGAATTGGATTTCTCACAAGCAGGAATTCCAAAGGTTGCTTTTCATTAAAGCCACTTTTCCTCTCAGCTATCAAATGTCACTGCCTTGAAACGTGGGCCCTTTCGTCAGGTATTCATTTAACCTACATGCATATAATTAAGGGGGAAAGCAACATCAACAAAAAGGGGATCTCAGATCACAGGAGAAGAAAGAAAGGAAAAAAGCACATGACCAGGAATGCAAGTCCATGTCAATTTCACTCACTCCCACAGAAACTAACAAGAGCTCCGGGAGGACGGTAATAGGATCAGTGGATTGTATATACCATTAAATTATACATCTTTCTCTCCCGTTCCTTGCCAACAATACGCCCACCACGCTGTACCCCTCCGAGACGATGTGCTTACATTTTTCTGCAACCGATCCTCTGACATTTTTCTCGATCCCCCAGCCACGAGATTGTAATTTAACCTCAACTTTTTGTGTGTGTGCAAGATTCTTATTTACACTTCTTATTTACTTAGAAGTTAGTTCCCGAAGAAAGTCTAGCCCCACCCTATGGTTCGGCTTTCTTATGTTCTTTATTTTTTGAAGTAAAAAGATAGTAGTAAGTAAGCCCAGTAGAGCGAAAAGCGAGATTCTTGCAATCGAGAACTCTTAATCCCACACTATTGTTACAATGATTAAGCAGCAAAAATATGCATTCTAATGTTTCAAGGCTACTTTGTAGGGAGAAATTAGACAGCAGGTTGGCGTACAGAATAGAAACGAATGCAAATTAAAATTAATGTTTACGGCACAACTCGGAGGTCTCTTTTCCTTTCGGGTCTCGGATCTATCTATATTCTTTAAAAATAAAACAAAAACAAAAACAAATTTAAACAGATGGCAGAAAACTGCGAAGCTCCCCTTACCTGAACGTGCGGAGCGAGCAGCCGATAGGTTAGCGTAGCATCGATCTGATGTGTTTGCTGATGAATGGAAGCCAGGGTTAAGTGAAGGTGCCTAGGATTTGAAATCATTCCAAGTTTTTGAAGGGAAGACGGACTGCAGCCTCTGCCATGTTGGAATTTCAAACCCAAAACAGCTGCTTGGAAGGAGCCAGCATGCCAGAGGCTGAGCGCAGGCGCAGAGCGCCGCCGAGCCAAATTCAAATCACTTTCACACTAAGAGCCAAAGATCAGTTTTCAAAGGCGAGAGGGAGAAAGAGACGGCGGCGGCCGCGCGCCCGGGGACCCGGCGTTGGCGGCGAGAGGCGGGCGCTGGAGCGGCGGCCCCGGAGCCCGGGCGGGAGCGGGAGCTG